TTTTACATCATGACCAAATGTACACATACATAAAGTCGAAACTAAATTTTTATGTGTACTGTACTCTTTATAGGAATATTTATAGAAATACAAAAATATGCAGCAACAAACAAGGTAAAATTCACATGCCTGTCATTCAATCAAAAATTTGCAGGCATAGATAAGAAGGCAGAGAGGGTCAGGAGCTGGCTGAATGGACACGGGAAATCCAGGGTGGAAAAGAGGAGTGTGCTGTCACAGTATAGGGAAAGCAATTAGGGCCACATAGCAATGTGTGTGTCAATTTTTGTATAAGAAACTAACTTGAATTGTAAATTTTCATTTAAAGCATAATTAAAAAAAAATTGCAGGCATGCAGAGCAGGAAAATATGACTCAGATGAGGAGAAAAATCAATCAAAATCAACTCAGAATTGACATACAAAATCAACTTCAAACTGACACAGATGTTAACAGACAATATTAAAAAGTGTTCAATGTAACTGTACTCCATATGTTCAAAAAGTTAAGTAGTGACTTAAAAGATATAAAAATACTCAAATTGAACTTCTAGAGATGAAAATTACAATGTCTGCAACAAAAAATACATTGGACAGATTAACAGCAGATTAGGCATAGCAGAAGAAAGAACAGCTATTTTGAAGACCTAGCAATAGAAACTGTTCAAAAGGAAACAGAGAAAAATAAGAACTAAAAAAATGAACATATTCAAGAGAATGAAAAGACAAGCCACAGACCTGCAGAAAATATTTACAAAACACATACCTGATAAAGGATTTGTATCCAAAATATACAGAAAACTCTTAAAACTCAATAAGAAAACAAACTCAATTAAAAAGTGGGCAAGAGCTCTGAACAGACATCTCACCAAAAAAGACAGAGATGGCAAATAAGCATATGAAAAGATGCTCAACATCATATGTCATTAGGGAATTGAAAATTAAAACAATAATTAGATACCACAACACATTTCTGAATGGCTAAAATCCAAAACACTGACCACCAAATGCTGGTGAGGGTATGGAACAACAGTAACTCTTATTGATTGCTTGTGAGAATGCAAAAATGGTACAGCCACTTTGGAAGACAATTCGGCAGTTTCTTACAAAGCTACACAAAGTCCTGCCATATGCCAGCAATTGCACTCCTAGGTACTTACTCACATGAGTTGGAAACATATGTCCACACAAAAACCTGCACACAAATGTTAACAGCAACTCTGTTCATAACTGCCAAAAACTGGAAGCAATCACGATATCCTTCAATAGGTGAATGGATAAAAAAAATGTGCTACATCCATACAATGGAATATTACTTACTGATAAAAAGAAATACGCTTTCAAGCCACAAAAAGACATGGAGGAATCTTAAATACATACTGCTAACTGAAAGAGGCCAGTCTGAAAAGGCTACTTACTGTATGATTCTAACTATATGATATTCTGGACATTGCAAAACTATAGCAACAGTAAAAATATCAGTAGTTATCAGGGGTTCATTGCAGGTGAGGGATGAATAGGTAGAGCACAGGGTATTTTTAGGGCAGTGAAACTATTCTGTATGACACCAATGATGTACACACGACATTAGGCATTTGTCAAAACTAACAGAACTGTAGAACACAAAGAGTAAACCTTTATGCAACCTATGGACTTTAGTTACTAATAATAATGTATCAATATTGATTGATCAATTGAAACCAATGCACCACATCATTGCAAGATGTTAATAATAGGGGAAACCGTGGGCAGGGGGAGAAGGAGTATTTGGGAACTCTATAAACTTTCTGCTCAACTTTTCTGTAAACCTAAACTGCTCTAAAAAATAAAGTCTATTAACTAAAAAAAAATTAACACAGCATCAATGAGCTGTGTGATAGGGGTCCCCAAAGAGGATGGGGGACAAAAAATATTTGAATAATGGTTTTCAAGAAACATAAAGAGAACTACACCAAGACACAACATAATGAAATTTCTCAAATACAGTGATGAAGAAGAAATCTTAAAAGAAGCCAGATAAAAAAGACATACACAGAAAATCAAATATAAGAGTAACAGCAGATTTCTCATCAGAAACAATGTCAGCAAAACCAGTGGAGCAACATCTTTAAAGTACTGAAAGAAAAACTGTCAACCCAGAAGTCTATACCCAGCAAAAATATTTTCCAAAACAAACATGAAATAAAAGACATTTTCCGTACAATGAGATACAATCTCACCCCAACAAGGCTAGCACTAATCCAAAAAACACCAAATAATAAATGTTGGAGAGGCTGTGAGAGACTGGAACACTTATACACTGTTAGTGGGAATGTAAAATGGTACAACCACTTTGGAAATCAATTTGGCGCTTCCTTAAAAAGCTAGAAACAGAAGTACCATACGATCCAGCAATCCCACTCCTTGGAATATATCCTAGAGAACTAAGAGCCGTCACACGAATGGATATATGCACACCCATGTTCACTGCAGCGCTGTTCACGATAGCAGATGAAAACAACCTAGGTGTCCATCGACAGATGAATGGACAAATTACTGTATATTCACACAATGGAATACTACGCAGTGATAAAGAACAACGATGAATCTGCGAAACATAATATGGAGGAATCTGGAAGGTATTATGCTGAGTGAACTCTGTCAGTGGCAAAAGGACAAATATTGTATAAGACCACTGTAATAAGAACTCAAGAAAACGTTTAAACACAGAAGACAACGTTCTTTGATGGTTACGAAGGTGGGGACGGAGGGAGGGGGTATTCACTAACTAGAAAGTAGACAAGAATTACCTTAGGTGAAAGGAAGGACAGCATACACTACTGGAGAAGTCAGCACAACTAGACTAAACCAAAGCTAAGAAGTTTCCTGAATACAACCAAACGCTTCGAGGGACAGAGTAGCAGGGGCGGGGATCTGGGGACCATGCTTTCAGGGGACATCTAGGTCAACTGGCATAACAAAGTTTAAGAAAATGTTCTGCATCCCACTTTGGTGAGTGGCATCTGGGGTCTTAAAAGCTAGCAAGTGGCCATCTAAGATGCATCAACTGGTCCCAACCTACCTGGAGTAAAGGAGTATGAAGAACACCATAGACATAAGTATTAGCTCAAGAGACAGAAAGGGCCACATAAACCAGAGACTTCATCAGCCTGAGACCAGAAGAACTAGATGGTGCCCGACTACCACAATGACCGCCCTGACAAGGAACACAACAGAGAGTCCCTGATGGAGCAGGGGAAAAGTGGGGTACAGAACTCAAATTCTAGTAAAAAGACCAGACTTAATGGTTTGATTGAGACTGGCGGGACCCTGGAAGACGTGGAACCCGGGTTCTCTATTAGCCCAAAACTAAAACTATTCCCAAGGCCAACTCTTCAGACAAAGATTAGACTGGACATAAAATGATACTCATGAAGACTATGCTTCTCAGTTCAAGAAGGTACATGAGACTAAATGGGCAGCTCCTGTCCAGAGGTGAGATAAGAAGGCAGAGAAGCTCAGGAGCTAGTTGAATGGACACGGGAAATCTGGGGTGGAAAGGAAGAGTGCTGTCACAGTATAGGGAGAGCAAGCAGGGTCACAAAACAATGTATGTATAAATTTTTGAACGAGACACTCAACTGGAATTGTAAACTTTCACTTAAAGCACAACAATAGAAATAAATAAATAAAAAGACTTTTTCCAATATATGAAGGAAGAAAGAATTCACTACCAGCAGACCAACACTACAAGATATATTAAAGGAAGTCCTTCAGGCAGACCAGATGAAAATATGGACTGACAAAAAGGAATAAAGAGCATAATTAATTGTAACTGCAAGGGCAAACATTTAACTTTTTTATCATTATTTGTCTTTCAAAGTGATTGTTAAAACTGACTGTTTAAACAAAACTAAAAACAATGTTATTAAGGTAAAATGTATGGCAAAAGAGCATAAAAGCTGGGAGAAGAAAAGTGGAATGTCAATTATACCTCAATAAAGATATTAAAAAATTAAAAGGTTGAATAAAATGATATCTAAAGATCTTTTCCATGAAAAAGTTTCCAATGTTATATTTCAATATAACTCCTTATTCTCCTTATTCTTTAGGGAAAAAAAAAAGTATTAACATCCCCATTTTGTTGCATATTTTTTTGTATTGTGTATACATGCATAGGAAAAAAACGAGAGGGTTTTCCAACATACCTTCTTCCTAAAACCTTACAAAAAGAGAAATATAAAAGAATTTAAAAGGCACAAATTCATGACGAAAAAGAATAGAAGATGAGAAAACAGTAGTCAAGTGTTGGGCATCTTTCTCCAGCTTTCAAAATACTGACCAACTTAGCATTTAGGAAAAAGCTGAGACTGAAGCCTGAAGGGGGGGCATTCAAAACCTTAAACCCTGGAAAGCCTCAGAAATTAGAGGCACAAAGGGCTGGGAAGGCATGCGTGTAGTACGCAGCTAAAATCAGAAGAGTTCATGTCTGTGTAAGGAACTGTCATACCCCCAAGTCCCCTGCTGCTCTTTAGGAGAAACATGACTTGGCCCTCTCGACCCTAAGAGTTTACGGAGAGGCTGAACCACAGAGGCTCTGCAACTGTAGGTTACTAGGACTGTAGGTTATTAGAGTGCAAGGTAAGATGCCCTATTGACAGTTGTGGGAGAAAGTGAATGCCTGCCTTCTAAACAGTGAGATTCCCTAGCATCCTTTCCCAGTTTAGCTCCCAAAACAACAGAAGCCAGGTCTATGCCACCAAGACAGGAGTAAGGTAAAGAGCAGAATTAACATCTAAAAAAGTTGAAAGCAAAGGCCATTGTCAATAGGGCACATTACACTTATTGTTAAAAGCTCTATGGTACTATATGTCTGTTTAAACTATACTCATATATTATTTTTATCAACCATGCACTTCTGTCACTTTGATAAAAATTATTTAATTAGATTAACACAGTACACATAAAAATTCTCATTTTCTTGTTGTTTTTTGTTAAGTTGTTAATTCTTTTTCTTTCTTACCTTTTTTCCACCTGGCTTCTCCACAGTGAAAACTTCACTCCAGATTTGAATCCCAGTGGTTTCCGGGTCAGAGCCTCCTCGCCATGAAAATCCCGTTAATGGTTCTTCTGGGTCTCCCAACCAACTAGAATGGCCACCTTCCTTCTGCAAGAGAAATAAGAAATTTCTAGTAAATCTTAAATGAGCAAATGTATAATTATTATTTTGAGCAAACGTATACATTATTATTTTGCTCATTTGTACATAAAAAGTCTCATCTTCTGAAATGAAATAATTCTACCTTACCTGAAAATATAAGTATCGTAGCATAAAGTCCAGAAAGAAGGACTTGCCCTTTCGGAAGGCACCAGCCACTGACAGCACCACCACATCAAGATCTCGGATGTGGTCCTGCAACAGGACGCTGGCCAAGGCTTTCTCTTCTAATTCAAAGGAATGTTGGTCTTTGTGAACACAAACAACCTGCACTGGACCAGGCTTTTCGCACTCCATGGCATCACCTATGTTCGTACAGAGATAAAAAATAGTTACAAATACTTTTTTGAACATGGGGAGAGCAAAAAGTTCTTAAAAAGGATACAAAAACACTAACCATAAAAGAAAATGATGACAAATTGGACTTCATTAAAATTAAGAATTGATGTTCATTAAAAGACACCATCTAGAGAGTAAAAAGACAAGCCATAGACTAGGAGAAAATAGTCACAATACCTACACCCAAGGACTCATATCCAAAATCAATACAAAAGCCGGTAAGAAAAATACAAACAATTCAATTTAAATAATAATAGGCAAAAGACTTTGAACAGGCACTTCACAAAAAAAGGATATTCACAGGGCCAATAATTATATGAAAATACTCCCACATTATGACTTATCAGGGAAAGGTAAATTAAAACCACAAGGAGATACCATAACTTGCCCATGAGGATGGCTAAAGTTTAAAAGACTGACAATACCAATTATAGAAAAGGATTTGAGATCTGGAACTCTTATACATTCTGATGGGAGCATAAAATAGTACGATTTTCCTCACTCAAATAGACATATGCACACCTATGTTCATGGCAGCATTGTTCACAATAGCAAAA